ACAGTTCAGGACCGCAATAAGGGCTACAGCCCTAGGTGCTACGGCTGTGGGGAAAGGGGCCATCTTCGATCCAGCTGCCCTAAACGAACTGTAGAAAGGGAAGGTGATCGATATCGAGAGGGTACTGTGGCTGACAGCACCGCCCAGCAACAGCAGGGAAACTGGCGGGTGCTGGCTGATGTTAAAAGAGCCCCAAGGATTTCGATCTCACAAACCCATGATGGGAACAGCCTAATCATCAAGGGCGAAGTCAACGGAACGCCGTGTAAACTGACCATAGACACTGGAGCCTCTCGCACGGTTGTCAGTTCCCAACTTATAAGTCGGTTCCTTGGGGACTCCGCATACAACCGAGAACGCATTAATTTGGTGACAGCCACCGGTCAGCGCATACCCGTCCGTGGAGAGAAGGAGATGGAGTTGAAGCTAGGCAACATGATCTACCTGCATAATGTCATCGTGGCTGATATAATGGACGACTGCATCCTGGGCCTAGACTTTATGAGGAAGAATTGTTGTGAGATCGACGTTAAGCAAGGTGTTTTGAAATGTGGACAAGAGGAACTTTTCGTGGAAGGGGCGTTACCAGGGAATGTGTACAGCCTTAAGAAGATTGTTCTTCCGCCGAGATCGGAAACGATTGTGCCGGTTAGACTTCCACGGAATCCTGGGCAAACTCTTCGTTGTGTACTCGTGGAAAGGGTAGACAATGACCTTCCATGGAAAGTGGCTCGAACCTTGGTCAGAACCGCCGACATCTCAGGAGTACGTGTGCTGAACCTTTGTGATCAGGAACAGATTATAGAAAAAGGCACATTGGTTGGTACTAGTGAGGAAGTGGATTGGTTGCGTCGGTGCGAATATCTATCGACTGGGACCCCCAGCAAGGATGGACAAACTAGAGTGACCACACTTTTAGAAGACTGTCGCAGCGTTCTCTCCCCGAATGAAACGGTCAAAGCGAAGAAGTTGTTACTCAAGTACGCCAATGTTTTCTCGTCAAACGAAGCTGACATAGGAAAGACTGGCTTAGTTCAACACAAAATAAACACAGGACAAGAATTGCCTATTCATCAGCGGCCAAGAAGATTGCCTGTAGCACGTGAAAAGGAAGTGGAAACCATGATTGAGGGAATGGTGAAGGATGGTGTTATTGAACCTTCATCTAGTCCATGGTGTTCACCTGTGGTGCTGGTAAAGAAGAAGGACGGCAACATGCGGTTTTGTGTTGACTACCGCCGCCTGAACGACGTTACAAAGAAGGACAGCTATCCCTTGCCAAGAATTGATGACACGCTGGACATGCTTACAGGTGTAAAGTGGTTTAGTACGCTGGATCTGAAAAGTGGCTACTGGCAGGTTGAAATTGACCCTAAGGACAAGGAGAAAACTGCATTCTCCACAGGAAAGGGTCTGTGGCAATTTAAAGTCATGCCGTTTGGATTGTGCAATGCTCCAGCAACGTTTGAAAGGTTGATGGAGCTTGTACTTACCGGGCTAATTGGAGATGCCTGTCTCGTCTATTTGGATGACATCATCATCGTAGGCCGTACGTTTGAGGAACACCTTCAAAACCTGGAACGCGTGCTCATGAAGATCCAGAGTGCGAACCTCAAGTTGAGTCCAAAGAAGTGCTCACTATTCAAACGGCAAGTTAGTTTTTTGGGGTATGTAGTGTCGGAAGAAGGTATCCGCACGGATCCAGAGAAAATTGCTGCTGTCAAGGAGTGGCCGGTTCCAAAAGACAAGACACAGGTTAGAGCATTTTTGGGTTTGTGCTCTTATTATCGGCGATTTGTGAAGAACTTTGCAGATATAGCCAAACCTCTGCACAAGCTAACCGAGGAGAAGCGACAATTCTGCTGGGATGAAAGTTGCGATATTGCATTCCAGGAGCTCAAGAACCGCCTGTGCAAAACACCTATTTTGGGGTACCCTGATGCGGGCAAGGAATTCATAGTTGACACAGACGCAAGTGATATAGGACTTGGCGGTGTGTTGTCTCAACGGAATGGTGATCAAGAAATTGTGATAGCGTACTTCAGCAAGTCGTTGTCAAAGCCGGAAAGGAACTATTGTGTCACAAGACGGGAATTGCTTGCTGTGGTAAAGTCCTTGCAACATTTTAGCAAATATCTTCTAGGGCGGAAATTCCACTTACGAACTGACCATGCTGCACTGAAATGGCTATTGCAGTTCAAAAATCCGGAAGGACAAGTTGCGAGATGGATAGAACTACTGCAGGAATACGACTTTGTGATCGAACATCGCAGCGGGAAATCTCATGGCAATGCAGATACATTGTCAAGAAGACCTTGCCCTGAAGATTGCAAGCATTGTACTAGGCAAGAGGGTAAGGAAGTGGTATCTGTGAGAATGCTCAGGACAGACCAGCTCAGCAATGAGTGGAAGGACAGCCTACAGCATGCACAGCAGGAAGATTCGGACATTAAGCCGATTCTGGAATGGATGAAGGCCAGTGCTCCTAAGCCCAAGTGGAGCGACGTCTCAGCAATGAGTTCGACCACGAAAAGCTATTGGGCCCAATGGGACAGCTTGCTGATTCAGGATGGAGTCCTGTACCGTAAATGGGAAAATGGTCGGGGAGACAGGTGTCATTTGCAAATGGTTGTCCCTAAGGCTAAAGTGCCGGATATTCTACAGCTGTACCATAGTGGTTGTTCAGGAGGCCACCTGGGAGTTAAACGAACTCTCCTGAAGATCCGAGAACGGTTTTACTGGGTCCACTGTCGTGACGATGTCGAGGACTGGTGCCGCAAATGTACAAGTTGTGCGGCTGTAAAGGGACCTCAAATTCGTAGTAGAGGCGCATTGAAATTGTACAATGTTGGTGCACCATGGGAGAGGATAGCCATTGACGTTGCGGGGCCGTTTCCAGAAACTGAAAGTGGTAACAAGTATTTCATGGTAGTGATGGATTACTTCACTAAGTGGCCAGAAGTCTTCGCCATTCCAAATCAAGAAGCTTCAACAGTTGCAGATAAACTAGTTCATGAAGTCTTCTGTCGTTTTGGAGTACCTTTAGAGATTCACAGCGATCAAGGAAGGAATTTTGAGTCTCAAATATTCCAGGAAACTTGCCGAGTTATGGGTACTCAGAAAACACGAACAACTTCTTACCACCCACAATCTGATGGAATGGTAGAAAGATTTAATCAGACATTGGAGAGGTACCTAGCAAAAGTTGTGGAAAAACGGCAACGAGACTGGGACAGGCACATACAACCGTTTTTGTTGTCATATCGAAGCGCTGTTCACGAAAGTACATCAGTGACACCAGCTTTCGCAAACTTTGGGAGAGAATTGCGGCTGCCTGCAGACCTGATCACCGGAATACCACCTGATGCCCCACGCAGTATAACCGATTATGCAAATGACTTGCGGAACAAAATGAATGACATTTATGAGCACGTCAGACAGACGGGCCAGCAAACGTCTGAGAAGATGAAAACACGGTATGACCGCAAAATGAACAACAAGGGCTTTGATGAAGGTTCACTAGTGTGGTTACACAATCCAGTTCGCAGCAAAGGGAAATCTCCTAAGCTTCAAGCTAAATGGGACGGACCGTACCGGATTGTGACAAGGATCAATGATGTAACCTACCGGATACAGAAAGGTGCCAGAGGTACTCCTAAGATTGTCCATGTGGATCGACTGGCGCGTTATTATGGGGCCAATAATGCTCGGGACGAGCATGTTTTAGGAGGGGGCAGTGTTACGCGCCACTATTAATGTCTTGTACATGGCAACACTAGTTACACTAGCGCCCCCTAGTGTCGAGTAAATGAAAGTATTGCGCGCCACTATTAATGTCTTGTACATGGCAACACTAGTCACACTAGAGCCCTCTAGTGTCGAGTAGCAGAACTAGGAGAGTCGAGATCCTTCCAGAAATTTCGGGACCGATATGTACTCGAACATTCTAGATGTCGCTACAGTAGAAGGTTCTGGAAACTATCTGAGGCCCTATATAAGACCGGTATAGACCACGACCGGGGCAGTATTGAATTGGCGATACAAGAGAATACTTCGTAGCGAAATAACGGCGAACTGTGTTTTATTATTAGTGTGATTTTAGATTGTAATTAGTGTTGTGTAATTAAAGTGTCAATTTTGGTAATTCAATCGGCAGTTTTTAATTGTCTCGAACCCCAAGCTCGTAACAATATTATTAATATTATACTATAAGAAACATTAAACCTTACCAGCTGTTCTGGTCCACATGTTGCCGGCTACTGATTTGATGTCATCAAACTATCTCCTGAAAGCCAAGAGAAATATTAAAGCGTGGGAAGACGACTACTACCCCCCTTGTTTATTAATGTCTACAATTATATAGCGTCTATCTGGAGGTACTGTTTCCGAAAGAGTGCTTAAATTTAATGATTTCTTATGTTTCCTCTGCAAGATGCAGAAGTGTACAAGCTTGATTGTGAATGTGGTCTCACTTACATAGGACAAACTAAACAGTCAATTAAAACCCGCGTTAAAGAACACATAGCTGATGTGAAAAATCGACGCACCGGGAACTCTGTAGTCTGTGAACACATACGGGATCGTCCCAGTCACTACATCAGAAGAAGTAACACCGATTCCTTCCAAGGAAGATTCGCAAGGCTATTGAAATCAATAAACACCCTAATTTCAATAGAGAAGATGGCTGGGTGCTACCATCTGCTTTCGATCGTATACTTAATAAAATTAAATTACCCAAGCATATAACTGCAAGACTTCAAGATACTAATAGCTCATTCTGCGTAGATTGGACCAAAAAAGAATAATTTTAAATTGAAGGTAGTTGTGGTTAACTATGACATTGGGACGTCTAAAAATTCAGTCCATGTCCATGGTGTCCGTGACCGTGATGGGTGCTGTTAAGTACTGGAAACGTCGGGAATTTAAATAATATACACGATAAAATCCGTAAAACTTGATTTTAATTTAAGTACTTATATTAGTTTCATCAATGATTCCAGGAATGAAATAGAGCTGGGTCAGAGCCGTGGCATACACGTGGTAGTGGCAGGCTGCGTGCCGCAAGGAGCTCCGCGCGCCTCCTACTTGCACGGCTTGAGTGTGGTCGGAGTGCAGCAGATAGACAGGATCGTGGAGGTTGTCGAGGAGACATTAAAAGGTGATATACAGTAAAAACCTAGCCCTTTTTATGTGGTAGAGTTTTATTTATTTATTCTTTATTGCATTCCTTAAAACAAAAGAATACAAATGGTGGACTTATTGTCTTGAAGCATTCTCTACCAGTCAAACCATGTTGCAGTTGTGTTTTGGTTGTAGCAAGAATGGGTTGACTCGACGAAGGGAGAATCACGCTCTCACAGAACACCAGCGTAAAGTAGCAGCTCAGTGCTGCTCTGTTTCGTATGGTGAGTGTAGAGAAGGTCCCTTTTTACTGGAAACAAGGCATTCCATCTTAGTGCTCAGGGGGTGACAACGTATCTGCATTTTGATTTTTAATCGAGAATAGATGTAGATGTCTATGGGCCACGCATCTCGCATCGCGGGCTGTGTGCTCGCTTGCTACCCTTATTCTATTAAAAGAGCCCTTTGCAATAATAACCTGCCTGTTTTTTTTAATCCTATTCCCCATTTAAAACGATGTTTTACGTAAGATGCGGCGCACGGCGGCGGTATGTACAAAACGTTATATTTATGAATATACCTGTGATCTCGCGCCAAATTATTAAATGTACGTGAAGTGCAGTTAACTGCTTGCCTGGTTCCTCTGCTGATTGGTAACGTACTACCGTTTTGCCTACTATTATACTTTTGTTTTTCTTAAATATTATTTTTTTTACTTTCATATCTATAACAGGTGATACGTCTGATTCAGATAATAATTTATACTTTTCACGTTTATCGTTTATCGTCACTTCTTCACCAGCTCATAAAAGTTCACAGAATTATTTGTTATATTTACGTAAACACTACACATTGCATAAAACTACATTTAAGAATTTTATCGCGTTTAATTGTACTTACTTTTAATTTTCGACTATTCTGAAGCTTTGCAGCACTCATGGCCACGGGGGGACTGAAGTGATTGACGTCTCAATGTAAAAGTTTACCAGGAGTACCTTCAGCTTTTTAATTATTAGTATTGTTACGAGCTTGGGGTTCGAGACAATTAAAACTGCCGATTGAATTACCAAAATTGACACTTTAATTACACAACACTAATTACAATCTAAAGTCACACTAATAATAAAACACAATCACTTTCGTTCGCAGTTATTTCGCTTCGAAGTTATTCTCTTGTATCGCCAATTCAATACTGCCCCGGTCGTGGTCTATACCGGCCTTATATAGGGCCTCAGATAGTTTCCAGCCTGGCTATTCACAATCGTCTCGGAAAGCGAAATCGACTCGGATTCGATAACTTCTCGCACCGAAACCAATAAACGCTATTCACATTTAACGTTCGGATAAAGGTCACTTAGATACATCCCATAACTATTGTATCGTCATTTAGTTACATGCTTTTACGAATTTTGTAGATAAATAGGCTTTTGTATTTTTTTAGAGTAACGCCTGAACAAAAACATAATAAAATATTTTGGTGATAGCCATTGATATCGAATATAAAAAATATATAATTTAACTCTATAATAAATAACAAAAAAACTGAGATATGTCTTGTTTCACAAAGCAGCATATATATATATATATAGCTTTGTGATAGAAAACTTATAAAAACACACCTTTCACAAAAATTCAGCTTTACGATTAAGTGCAAATATTGAAGTAATTATATGAAAATACGTCTTATAGATAATAGTAATTAATTTTTGTTACCTACCTTATAATTAAAAGGGTTTATTTATCTCTTCTAATCATCAATATTCGAAAAGTTTACGCCAGCCTCAGAGCTCTCGTGAAGTTTCCGATGCAAACTGTAACAATTATCGAAAACAAACGTCAAATAAGTACGGTCACGCCTCATAGAAAAAAACCCAGACCCGACAGAAACGAGACATATCTCAGTTTTTTTTTTGTTTTAAATTATATATTTGTAGGAAGTACAGACCGACGCCACCGTACCTACAACGGTGCAGGTGCCGTCATATTTTTTATATTCGATATCAATGGCTAACTCCAAAATATTTCATTATGTTTTTGTTCAGGCGTTACTCTAAAAAAATACAAAAGCCTATTTATCTACAAAATTCGTAAATGCATGTAACTAAATGACGATACAATAGTTATGGGATGTATCAAGTGACCTTTATCCGAACGTTAAATGTGAATAGCGTTTATTGGTTTCGGTGCGAGAAGTTATCGAATCCGAGTCGATTTCGCTTTCCGAGACGATTGTGAATAGCCCGGCAGTACCTTCTACTGTAGCGACATCTAGAATGTTCGAGTACATATCGGTCCCGAAATTTCTGGAAGGATCTCGACTCCTAGTTCTGCTACTCGACACTAGAGGGCGCTAGTGTAACTAGTGTCTCCATGTACAAGACATTAATAGTGGCGCGCAACAGTATGCTTGGGTTTAGTTTTAATTTTATTAATTACAGGATCTCAACCAGGTGGTAGTACCCACCACCACACAGTCCTTCTCCATTAAAATTAGGATGTTTTCTTTAATTTCGATACGCTCACATATCATCATTAGTAGGAATCAATGTTCTTTTGCCGTCTAGGACATGATCACAAACTGCAGACCTCAAATACTAAAAGTTCATAACTGGATATGGGGTATCCTGTTGGTCGTTGAGAATTTTCCTTAATCGTTCACACATGGCAGGCGGACTGACAATCACAGTATAAGACATCTCGCACCTTTGACGCTGCTGTTCAGCAAATCGGCTGTTAAACGTGGTAGAGTTACACTGTAGCTATATATTTTTTTTAATTTAAAAAAAATACTAGTAATGCTATTAAACAATATTACTATTCCCTTTAACCACTTCTGGTAAGCTTTAAATGCTTGTGTTAGAAGTGGTTTACGACAGTAGTCGAATGACGGATTCGAACCCACGACCTTTCGAGTTCGCGGTCCGTGTCCTGCCATTAGGCTACTGACGATATTATGGTTGTATCACGAATTGGTGGGCTCGACCGGGGACGGACCCCGCTCTCACAGATCAGATAAAATAGCAGCTTAATGCTGCTGTGTTTAGTATGGTGAGTGTAAAGAACCGGAGACCCTTTTTACTGGAAACGAGGCATTCCATTTGAGTTCTCAGTGGTTACAACTCACCTGTATTTTGATTCTTAGTGGATGATGGATGTAGATGTATATGGGCCACAGCATCCACTTACCTTAATGCGTGGCAGAGCCATGCTGCAGCTATATTAGTAGTATAGTTGTAGCACGAATAGGTCGGCTCGACCGGGGAAGGACCACGCTCTCATAGATTAGATAAAATTGCAGCTCATTACTGCTGTGTTTCGTATGGTGAGTGTAAAGAACCGGACCCCCCTTTTTACTAGAAACGAAACATTCCATTTGAGTCCTCAGGGGTGACAACGCATCTGCATTTTGATTCTTAATTGAGGATGGATGTAGATGTCTATGGGCCACAGCATCCACTTACCATCAGATGGACTGTGTGTTTGTTTGTCACCCTTACTCTATAAAAAAAAACGTGAGGGTATTCTACTGGCGTCATCTTAACAGCCTATCTAAAATCCCTTCTGGTATTGCTTGTCTTTTGTTCGCAGTTTAATACTATTGGTTCAGCCATTCTTAAAATTAGCCCATATAGGCAGACAGACAGACGGACAGACAAAAATTTAAAAATTCTCATTCATGTGTTAATTGCATGCAAATAACTTCCTGATCATATAAGAAACGTTAACGTTAAGTTATTTCACAGACACTTTAATTTTATTTATATGTATAAATTAAATAGTGTGGTAATTTGTAATAATAAACAGTAAATTAATACCCGTGGATTTCCTTCGTCAAACATGTTACAAGATAATAATTATTACTAATTTGTATTTCCAGGTCATACAGTCCGTCTTTTCGGCCAGAAGAAAACCGGCGAGGGTCGTAAAGCTGGTGGTGCATCTCTTTTATTGCCTAAAGTACGAAAAAATCCGCTAATAGAGATCATCCCGATCAACACAGGGTGTTTGAATCAGTGCACCTACTGCAAAACTAAGCACGCAAGAGGGGAGTTGGGTAGTTACCCCCCGGAGGAGATTGTTGAGAGGGCGAGGCAGTCGTTCAAAGAGGGCGTTTGTGAGATTTGGTTGACGAGCGAGGACACCGGTATGTATCACATATTGTGAAAAATGAAGAAAGAAAGAATGAAAATATTTATTTCGCCACATAAACACAACGCCACACTGTACATAGTTGTTTATTTTTATTTTTAAGATTATTATAAATAACATAGTATAGACGTGATATGAATGAATGCGACGAAAAGAGTTCGCATTCCGAATTTGGCGTGGCGAACCACTGCCACTGTTTTTCAGTGTGGCCCATTTTGTCTCTTTTGAGTAGTTCGAGCAGTGGTCCATATTAATACATAAATAAATTCCAACGGTAAATAAAAAAAAAAAACGAAAAAACCACGAGACTAAACTATACATAAATTGTGTTCTAAATTACTAAGCTTAAAATCTAAACAGCGATGGAACCAAAATACAAATAATTGTTCCATCTGCAACCAACATCAAATAATGAAAGCCACGTATGTGTTGCTACCTCTAAGAATTGAAAGATGAAACACAACCACGAATAAGAGTGACAAACGAGCACACAGTCCACCTGATGGTAAGTGGTTGCTGTGGCCCATAGACATCTACGTCTATCCACGTTTGCGAATCAAAATGCAGTTGCGTTGTCAGCCGTGATGACTAAGATGGAATGCCTCTTTTCCAGTAAAAAGGATCTCCGGTTCTCTACACTCACCATACGAAACACAGCAGCATTAAGCTGCTATTTTACGCTGGTATTTTGTGAGAGCGTGGTCCTTTCCCGATCGAGCTGACCCATTCGTGCTACAACTATACAATTAATGTAGCTGCAGCATGCCTCTACTACGTTAAAGTGCACCATTTTTACCACAGAACAAATAAGTGGGTTGTATCTATCCAGACAGATTCCTAGAAAAAGAAAGAGTAGGCATCACGGAACAAAGTAACAACATAAGTTGGTAGTAGTTTAACTAGGTACAGAAGGAATATCACCACACAGACATGCACAGTGCATGTTGCCAGTAATAAATTTAATACCAAATAGTTGGGAACAATGTTTTTTATTTTATTTTATTTGGTAATAATTTAACTTCTCCTAATGTCATCAATCACAATATCAGTAACAATATCGTCATGAATAGAATAGAATAAAATAGAATCATTTTTATTCAATATAGATTATAGTACATAATACTTATTGAAAGTCATCTTTTTACTTTTACCACTGGTTCGCAAAAAAAAACCTCTGCCCTGGAAAGAACCGGTAAGAAACCCAGCGAGGGTTATTTTTTTTTGAAAAAGCACAATTTACAATATCATATTTTATACAATTGTTATGAAAACTTAAAGAAACAGCATGGTAGCGATCACCTCATTCCCAGGGGTTATTATCAGTCATGTACTCTTTAGTAGTATAATAACTCTTACCAGATAATTTTTGCTTAATAAATAATTTAAACCTTTTGTTAGAAAAGGTTGACATAGTTTCTGGGACTTTGTTGTAAAAGCGTTTACATTGCCCCATGAAGGAATTTTTTTTTCATTTATTTAAAGAACCACAAACAGATTCACAATTAAATATATATAAAATATCAGAACAAAGAAACGTAATTATCATTATGAATCCAACAGCGCTGGTCTCATTATACATATAATCTAGTGTTAAAGTGGAGCTCATCTTACATTATAACAAGTGTTAGTTAACTAGTTAAGAAATCATAAAGTAACTAATAAATAAATACATGTGTGTATATGTGTTGTGTGTGTGTGTGTGTGTGTGTGTGTGCATGTGCATGCGTGTGCGTGCGTGTGTGTGCGTGCGTGCGTGCGTGTGTGTGCGTGCGTGTGTGTGTGTGCGTGTGCGCGTGTGCGTGTGCGCGCGCGCGCCTGTGTGTGTATATGTGTGTGGTTGTGTGTGTGTAAGAGTGGAGGTAGGTGTGTAGGGACGTGTTTGGCTGGTACTTGAATCTACAACCAGGTATGCAATATACAGGAAGAAAATAAAATCATTTATTATGTGTTACTAAGCCAAGCCTATCAATGACTGATTTCTTGAAAGATGTATGTCGTAATGCAATAATATCGATATCATTGAAAATATTATTGTATGTTTTGGCCATACGGTGAAGTGGAGAACGAATGCCCGCATTTGTTCGGCAGGATAAGGTTGCAAACAATCTATGCGGACGTGTAGACCTCATTAATGATCGAGGAGGTACGCTATAACAAAGTTTGTTTGATATTTCTATAGAGTCATATCTATTATGAGTAAGATCATGTAATAACATTACTTCAAGTTGTGTGCGTCTAGATTTAAGATCAATTAAATTGTATGTCTTTAGTAACAAATTATACGACAATCGTTTGCGATGGAATTTAAAATGTATGTATCGAAGATATTTCTTTTGTATCTTTTCAAGCATATAATTGTATTTTTCATAAAGTGGATTCCATATTGATACAGCGTATTCTAGCTGACAACGTATCAATGATTTAAATAAATATAAGAATGTAGAAGTTTGTTTAAACATAACACCTGATCTAATGACGAACCCATACATTCTAAATGCTTTATTAATAATGTTTTCTATATGTACATCGAAATGTAGTTTACTATCAAGTGTGATTCCAAGATCTTTAATAGTGTTTTTCTTGCTTAAGGTTATTCCGCAGAGTGAATAAAAGTAATTACTAACATTTCTCTTTCTTGTGAAAGTTATGGATTTGCATTTATCAATGCTAAGTTCAAGTTTATTTTCACTGCAGTATAAAGAGAGTTGATTCAGGTCATTTTGGAGTTTAACATGATCGTCTAAAGTGTTAATAATCTTGTAAATCTTTAAATCGTCTGCATATAGAAGAAACTTACAGTGATCAAAACATTTATTAATATCGTTAATAAATAATACGAATAGTAGAGGGCCAAGAATGGAACCCTGTGGTACACCTGAGCTTACATTTACACTTGGAGATTCGAATCCCTTAATAACGACCTTTTGAGTTCTATTCGATAGGTAAGATTTAAACCATCTCCAAAGGTTTCCTCGTATACCATTAAAGGCTATCTTTTCAAGGAGGATTTTATGATCCACCCTGTCAAAAGCTTTGCGAAAATCAGTATACACGCTGTCAATCTGTTTATTTGCATCTAGTCCTTCAAAGAGATCCGTTGTATAAATAAGTAGGTTAGTAATCGTGGAACGACGGTCAACGAATCCATGTTGTTGCTGTAAAATAGAACTATGGAGACATGGGTAAATAGCTTTATGTACTAATCTTTCGCAAAGCTTCGACAGGGTAGGCAAAATAGAAATAGGCCTATAATTTTCTACGTCTTTCTTGGATCCTCCTTTATATACAGGGACGATTCTGGCTGATTTCCAAATCTTAGGAAAGACACCATCACGTAAACGTTTATTAAATAAATAGCATATAGGTTCATCAATAGTATCAGCAGTCTGTCTCAAGAAATAGGCATTAATGTTATCAACTCCAGCGCCTTTATTATCATCAAGCACTTTAATTGAGGCATGAACTTCTTCCTTTGAAATTTGTACACTACAGATTAAGGTATCAGGCGTTTGACGGTCATCTATATTAATATCTTTAATTTCAAAGTTGTCTGGTACAAATGAAGGTTCGAATACTGATTGGAAAAACGTCGAGAAAAGACTACATACTTCAGAAGGTGAATTGGCAGTTACGTTTTTGTAGTGCATTGTGTTGGGTATATCTGAATTCTTTTTACGATTATTAATGTATGTCCAGAAAAATTTAATATTATTTTTTATACTGTGTTCTACATGTTTGAGGTAAGCTTTATAACGCCGATCCGACATTTCTTTAAATTGTTTTCTGTGTATAGCAAAAATACAATAATTTGATTCCGTATTATATCTTTTCATTTGTATCCAAGCTCGCTCCTTTTTCTTATATAAATTAATAAGTGCGGGAGTAAACCAATTTGGAAAAAGTGACGATTTAATAACTTTTGTGGGCACATGTTTTTTTATTATGGCATATATCCTTTCATAGAAATTAGAAACTGCCTCTTCTACTTCTTTTTCCATGAAGAGAAGATTCCAATCAGTATTTGCTATTTCTTCATTAATTTTTGCATAGTCCGCGTGTTTGTAACAATATTTAAGATAGTTTTTATTTTTCAAGCGTTTTAATTCCTCGACAAAAGATACAACTACCTGGAATGGAGGGTGATGTCCATCTGGTGGAATCAAAGGTAATTGTACAGGAGAAGTTTTGCTATTTATATTATTACTGATGCATAAGTCTAATATATTATTTGTTTTATTTTTTAACGAATTCAATTGATAACATTCAAGTGATGACATAAAGTTAATTAAGTATCTGTGCGTGGGAGTTATGTCAGAATTTATAATTGGTTGAGTGAAAATGCCTTTATTTTCCCACTTTAGACTAGGCAGATTAAAGTCACCTATTATATAAATGTCAGTATCTAAATCATGCACCGAACTGTGTAAAAAGTCTAAATAAGCACGGTATGTATCGTAGTTTTGTTTAGGTGGGATATACACAGCGCAAATAATCAGTTTACGTTTTCCTATGTTGAGTTGAATCATCAACTGGTCAACAAGAGGCGGGAGGGGTACGTCGGCAGCGGGCAGCGCGAGTGCAGTAGCACAGAGCGTTCGCGACACGGCCACAAGCACGCCGCCTCCATCCCGCCGGCCACTGGTCGATCGGTCCCGATCTATTCTAAACACCTGATACCTAGAATCAATGTATTCACTATCGGAGATGTCATTGCGCAACCAAGTTTCTGTTAATATTATTATGTCATAGGTACTGGAGGCAACATTAGTGTAAAGAGTGTGTAGTTTTGTTTTAAGTCCTCTGCAGTTTTGGTAGTACAGTGTTAAATAACTATTAGCCATTTTGAATGAATAATTCTTATAAGATAGAGATATTATGATTAGTGTAATATACCATTAATGAGACTATTGCAAAGTAATTTTTACTAAAGTAATTAAGTGCTATGTTTCGTACCGTTTTTAAAAATTCCATCGAATATAAATTATTTCCTACTTCATGGTTATAACTCAGATTAAAACTGCACAAGTTATTATAATACATACAGTGATATTTATGACATACTTTATCATAACAGATTAATGCACTATTTTCAGTATAGGAACACACAACTAAAATTATTATTATTTGCAATTCGCACAAACAAGAGACACGGGGTAAATAACAATATACATAGGGTAGACTTACTATTTTTTTTTAACCGTGATACTGATATATATGTTTTTACACGATAAAACAAAAAATGCAAATTATTATTGACGTCACTACTTGATCTTATCAATGTCTTGTTCGTTACGTATTGCAAATATTGGTGATGAATCGGTTTGGCGAACAAGTACAGTACCATGCTTAATCCAAGTATATTTATAATTATGCTTCTTCGCAGCGACACGGCATAAACGAAATAATTGTTTATTTTTTGGAGTCAGGTGCTCATTTAAATAAATCGTACACGGAGTGCCAGAGATTGAGAGTTGGTCAGATCTGACTCCTCTTACTGCCCTCGCCGCCACAACTATGTTGTCTCGCAATATTTTGGAGGATAATTTAACAATCACATTTTTGGGATGTTGATTTTTCTGATCAAAATGGGGTACACGATGAGCGGAGAGAATGTCTGTGGCATTGATAGGATGTTTTATTATTGTACCTATTTTCTGTAATAAGGTTATAAGATTTTCGTTACGGCGTTCCGGGAGATTAGCAATCTCGATATTATATTGCCTTGCCTGTTGCTCCATTGATTCAATTTTATTCTCTAAGGCGGCAATTTGGGAATTCACAATGCTACCCGCGATAACTTTTTCTTCAATTAACTTCAATCGACTCTCAAAATTATCTTGTCTTTCACCTGAGTAGGTTATAGATTTTTCTATGTCGTCTAGTCTAGTAGTTATATCCTTCAGTGAGTTGTTAATAGACGAGGTTAATTTACTCATTTCGTGCTCAAGTGTCGCGTTAACAGCGTTTCTTATGGTTTCGGCGATGTTTGTGTCCAGCCGATTCTTCCAAGCTGCAAGCTGTTCATTTATTTTTTGCTCGACAACCTCCACTACGGAGCTTGCCATATCCGATTCGGGTTGTTTACGCTTACGTAGGTTAACAAAGCAATCAGTATCGCGGATATTAAGCGCTGAGTTAGGAATATCGGGGTTGGATGCACATTTAAAAGTAGCCGATGGCGGTGTACGTTGCATTACGACAGCAAGATGTAATATAGCTTGCCTTTTCAAGCACAGCGTTGCAAGCGATTCACAAGAGATGCACAGGCTATTTATCACTGCACACACAAGACACACAAAGGCGAACTCAGTCACTAACTAGTTAAGGTCTTAATTAGAGTGCACGTATTCACCAAGCTAAACTGTTCGTATTTTTACACGTCTGCGCAAGATTGACTCCACACGGCGAATGAAAGGAATTAGTGAATCTTTGGAGCCGAGCAACTAGTATAACTAATTTGTGCTTGTTCTTAGTATTAACAGAATGTACATCACTATTTTTTAATAAAACTATTGTTTTTGTGTGCATACATTAAATTCTCGTAAATATATTGAGGACCAAAGTTAATATATTTATTTCTCTAAATTTTTCTCTAAGAGATTCCTTCAGACCTAGGTTATAAATTGCTGTCATGATTCTCTTTTGCCAAACAAAGATAGCTTCAATGTCAGTTGGATTACCCCATAGCAAGATTCCATAAGACATTATGCTATGGAAATAACTGATATAAATTACTAATCTAGCTGTTTCAACACATGTAAGGCATCTAATTTTTTTACAGCATATGCTGCAGAACTAAGTTTGCTAGCTAGTTTAGATATATGAGGGCCACATTGAAGCTTCGCGTCTACTGTAATACCGATGACACTGTTATCAGTGTATTCAACAAGACCCAGCTCCTCCCCATTTAAAAGCACAACTGGCATTCACTTTTTTAACATTAGGTTTTTTTTTTAAATAATAAGGGTGACAGACGAGCACACAGTCCACCTGATGGTAAGTGGTTCCTGTGGCCCATAGACATCTACATCTATCTTCGTTTGCGAATTAAAATGCAGATGCGTTGTCAGCCGTAAGGACTAAAATAGAATGCCTCTTTTCCAGTAAAATGGATCTCCGGTACTCTACACTCACTATATGAAACACAGCAGCATTAAGCTGCTATTTTACGCTGATATTCTGTGAGAGCGTGATCCTTCCCCGGTCGAGCCGACCCATTCGTCCTACAACTATACTATTAATATAGTTGCAGCATGGCTCTACCACGTATAAAATGTGTGTAGTGAATCTATGTACAAAATGACTAGAGGTTTATATCAAAATCTGAGCATGTTTTTTTGCCATTCGTTTCCACTAGTACCTAATACAAGGAATGTTGAACTTCTTCGGGGAGATTTCAAGGCTCAAATAATGATAATATTCCGATATATATAGTTGCGGAAAATAGCCCGTCGTAATCTACTTAATACCCAAATCCACATCACTTTTATATATTAAAGTCCACTTCAAACCATTGTTTTAATGATACAGCAGGAATAGAATAGAATAGATTAAAAAAGTTTTTATTCAATGTTACAGATTACAAAAATACTTATTGATATTCATTTCAGCTTTATCATTGGTTCGGAAAAAAAACCACTGTCCTGGGAAAATTTGCAATAAACCCAGCGGGACTTTTTTAAAACATTAATTTACAATATAATATCTTGATATTTATAATATTTAATAGAATTAAGTATGAAAACATGGAGAGCATGGTAGCGATCACCTCATTCGAAGGGGTTATTATCAATCATGTACTCGTAATCATCAATCAGGAGCTCTTTATGCAGCAATTAGTTATTTAGGCTTAATTTCCAATTCCAGGCACATACGGACGGGACATTGGCACTTCGCTGCCAGAACTCTTGTGGCAGTTGGTGAAGGTGATCCCTGAGGGCTGTCGGCTTCGTCTCGGCATGACCAACCCACCTTATATTCTGGAGCATCTGGAGGAAGTAGCCAAGATCATGCACCATCCTAGAGTCTATAAGTGAGTTTTTTATTCAGTCAATTGAAAACCAGTCCTTCAAAGTTAGATCTTAACAACTAATTTTTATATTCACGACGTAATTTATGACGTATTTTCTGCTTCCACCAGGGCGCCCTATTCTTCGAAACGAAACCCTGGTTTTAAAACTTGATAGCGTAAACAGGTCTCATTTATAATAGGGTATTAAACTCATTTTCAAAAAGTGTTTTAAATTAATCCTAGAGTGATAATGAACCACTATAATTTTTATATAAATTTTTTAAAACCGAATAGTGACATAAAAATTACTTTTAATCTATCCTTTTAAATTTTCGCGTGAAAACGCTAGCCGTCGTACTGTTCAACTGGTGACGTCATAGTCGTAGAATTTTGACAATTTTGCAAAGGAATAAGATACTTTTGAATGTTTAATAATGAGTTATCATTTATATCATTGTTGTGTTGTGCCTGATTGCAAAAATACGAGCATAAGAACGCCGGGGAGGTTATGGATTAAAGTGCCAACTGATTTAAATGAAAATGAAAAAAAAAAATTAAAAATGTTTTATTAGCAGTAAGAAAAATAATACAATAGGTAATATCTGTTGGTTTCCTCACTAGGCAATCCTGTATCGAGGAAACCTGAGACCATAGTTCATTAAGCGCTATTTTATACACCTTATCAGACAGATTGTATTACACAAAACAACAATAAGAGAATTGCTTATTGCTTTAAATATTTGAACACAAAAAGAAAGAAAACTATAAAAACAAAGGTAAGCTATATAAAACTGAAATGTATTAACTATGTGTATTTAAAAAAAGAAAATGATAAATTAAAACAATAACAAAATTTATCTAATAATTTTACAAATACCATCAATTAGCAAAAGCCAGTTTTTAACAATTCTTCTGTTTCCTCATATGATATGGTGACCAACCATTTCAATATAATTACTTTCGCAGATATGTAGTTTTTATTCTTAATATTACAATGTTTTACGGCCTTATTATAAATTTGTCTTTTGATAAAGTCGTCAAAACGTTGTGCAAATTTAGTATTGACAGATGGTATGGATAGTTTGTATACCCTGCGATTAGTCAGTAGTTTGTGATCATGGGAAGATAATACGCCTTTATGTACTGCTAAGGACGTATTTAGTACAAAAAGTTGGCGTACAGTGAGTACTCCGACATCTTTGTATACGCTTACAGTAGGGTATCTGTATGGTTTTCCTAACATTGCCTTTAAAACTGCCCGTTGTGCTATCTCGATCTGTATTAAATATATTTTGGACGCACTACCCCAACATGTGATGCAGTAAGTTATCAGCGATTGACAAAGAGCATAATATACTAATTTCAGTATTATCTTATTTGCTATATAATGTAGCTTTCTCATTATATAGATGATCCTTCTGATTCGGTTCGAAAGAACTTCGATGTGCGATTTAAATCCCAGATTTTCATCAAATATGAGAAATACTTGGTTAATACTGGCATGAAGAGACACGAAAGATCACTTTGATGTAAGTACGACTTATATTTAACTATCGATTAAACAAAACAAAACATCATGACATGATAGGTAGCTATTGCAAGTCAAATTTTGTAATAGATTAGGTTAATCGCTCGTCTGTTCCGCCCTTTGTGGGCCATTTTGATAGCCCTTGCAAGTGCAGTGCAGTGTTTTACTTAATTCCTGTTTTCTTCTATTATTATGGGAATAAAGACATGGTTTGTACTCAGACCAAATAAAAAAGTGACTTTTTATTTCGTCTGAGGGTTTGTACAAAAAAAATATAAAGTTTTTCTCACCTAAGCTTATATTATAATATCTATAACATTAGTGCTAAAAGCGAAGTAATAAACTCGCTTTTACGAATCCTTCTAACATGACATTTTTAACAGTGGTAGAGCCACGCGGCAGATTCTGCTGTCGCACGGATGTGCCGGCTCGAACCGGGGTGGTACCACGACCTCACAGAATACCAGCGTGAAGTAGAGGTTTACCTCTGCGTTTCGCTTGGTGAGTGCAGGTGGCCGGAGGCCCTTTTTACTGGAAATGAGACATTCCATCTTAGTCCTCACGGGTGACAACGCATCTGCATTTTGATTCGCAAACGAGGATAGATGTAGATGTCTATGGGCCGCAGCAACCACTTACCATTAGGTGGACTGTGTGCTCGTTTGTCACCCTTATCCTATAAAAAACCTAGTGACGTCACGACGCTATGTAATATGGCGGACATCGTTTTGCAGATTTGAGGCACTGGTAAAAAAATATTCTTTAAATTGAAATATAAAATTTATAATGCATTTTTATAAATAGAAATCAATATTTCTCTTTTACTTTTTACAAAATCTATCATAAATATATATTCTTTGATATTTTTTTACATGGTGTAAAATACCCTATTAAAATAGTGGATGAAACGTTTTTCATATTTAATGATAATGATTTATTTTAATATTAATTTATTTATTTACAAAGAGTACAGTGAATTTGTACTCTTTGTTAATAAATTAAATATTAGTTAATTTTGTTATGAAATCATTTGAGACTAAATACTATCCACGAATTATGTAGATATCGCTAAATATAAGAATTAAACTTGTCTTTTCTTAATGATGTAAAAAAACTGAACCTAAAACTAATTATAACATGTAGTACAATGTTTATTTTTATAAAAAATATCAGAATTTTTATATTATATTTAATATTTTATTTACATATTTTTTCATATTATATTATATTTTTATATAAAGAAGATATTTATTATATTAATATTATAGTTATACTAGGTATTTCAATTTCAATCCTCAAATAAAATGTATTATTTACAAGATAAAATATATTTCATATAAACAAATTATAAATTACAGTTGTATGAATAAAAAAGTTGAAGTAGTAAGACTAAAAAAATTATGCCTTTTCGGTAACTTGGCAGGAATAATGAAGGGTTTTTTTTTAACAACCAATTTTAAAGTGTTAAAGTTTAAACTTTATTTAATCAACTTTCTAAAACAATAAAAATATCGTAGTAAATAATGTAGGTTATTGCAGGAATAAAAATGTAGTGACTAAATTATTTTACTAAGCTTAAGGTTAGATAAAACATTGTCAATAGATGACGCTAGAAGTAATATGACGTCTACAACGCTTAAGGTAAAGAAACCTTGTCAAATAGGTGGCGCTAGTAGTAATATTACATCGCACTATTGTTTTGAAAAAGGTAAAGTATATAATATTGTAACTCTGAAGAGTAGGTTTGAGTTGGAGATTGAAATTTACATTGAAATTTTTTAATGTTCCTATTTTATAAAGGAATATATAAAATTGAATAATGAATAAAAATAAATTATAGTTATTAAAAATATTATGCTAGACTGTAGTAGGCATGGGTAATATCACATTTACCCTATATCAAATCGTACCTAGACATGGGCAATGTGTATCACTTAAAAGAAAAGATTGATATGTATCTTTTGATCACTTGGATATGTATCACTCTTTTATATCTTTATATCCTTATGTATCAGTAGATCAAGCTCGCTTTCACGACACGCATTGCATTACGTTGCGTTGCTCACTCAGCGTGGTTCGCTTCGCTCAACTCAATCCTATCAGTAAGAGTGATAGATAAGTACCTATAGAGCTGTTTGCATTTTGCTTGGTCGTAACATTGTGTATCTTTCTGATATATTTGTCTGTTGTTTCTTTCTAGGTATCTATTTGTTATGATTAAAAAAATTAAGTTTTCCTATTTCTCAGACATGCAGGTTTCCTCACGATGTTTTCCTTCATCGCCGAGCACGTGGTAAATCAGCACTTAAAATTGCAATTAACAATTTCATTGGTGCCGGCGGGGATCGAACCCGGGTTGCTTGCGTACTGTGAAACTTACAGCGAGCGCTGTTATTGTTATGATTGATAAATATTAATAGGCACTTATTCGAGAAATTAACTTAAATTTTTAGTTTAAAATAATAATTAACGTAAATAACGTAGGTAGGGTAGGTATTGTTTGTATTAATTTGTAGAAAATAGTAATAAAATAAAATAGTTTCGGCTTCTTGAAAACATGCCTGCTGCGTTGGCTGTCTTTTAGCTACGAGAGGTACTGTGGGGAAGGTTACCACAATTTCCAGCGGGTACATTTAGCATATTCGCACAATAAAGGCATTTTGCTTTTTTTTGGTTCTACTTCCTCAAAATGATTCCACACTGCGCTTTGTTTTCGTGAACCCATTTTTTTTTATTAATAAAACACTAACTGCACGTAATTATTTACACTTAAAATAAATGAAAAATTCACTAACTGTACGTACAGAACAAAAACACTTTAAACTATTTACACTGAATGTCTTATTTACCTACATTTAAATTAAACAGTCACTAAGTGTAGGTACAAAACAACTTCAAATATTTTTCTATTCGATGCAATTAACGCAAACAATATTACTCTCGTTCCCAAACCGAGATTAAGGTTGAACTAATGAAGCGAACTGATATATTTGTTTAATTTTGTAAATTACAAATCTTTTTTCTACTTTTTTTATGGATATAAACGACTATTAATTTCGATTATAAAACTTTCTTAAAAACTATGGTTTTATAACTGAAATTAGTTTGCATTGTTTACTAAAAAAATTATAGGCAAAGTACACATAGGTACAGTTCAAACCCGTATAATACTTAAATGTTAACGTACCGCTTAATGACTTTAAGCCCTATGCACCAGTCATAGAGTTATCAATTTACCTTTTTGTGCTAGCGTATTACAGTTTATAATGGTCAAACAACTCACTCTCTCCGTCTTGCCAAAGCGCGACAGAACATTCTAAATAGTGATCCGCGAAAGAAACGTCTGTACTATGGACTTTCCGAAATCTTCCTGGAACGACCGGCCGTGCCGGCCGAGGTATAATAAAAAGCAGTGTGCGCAATGTGCGACACAGATGTTAGAAAAAGTTAAAAGATGTCTTGAGTGAATAAGTTGTAAAGATATACTGATACAGTGATACATTCGGATGCGGACCATGAAGACCACCGCACTTCTGCTCCACGCCTCCGGTGTAATGCCACCATGGAGGACGGAATTAAAGAGCTTCTGAAGGACTTCAAGTACCGGTCTTCCACCCGCTTTCAGAAGCTCCGCTGTAATTCCATCCTCGCCTGGGGCCTTATCGTTTTTAAGGTGCTGGAGAGCCATTCTAATCTCGCTCAGACTGACGTCCGGGATATCTTCGGAATAGTGTCGGATGAGACTCGCTCTTGGATCGTTACTCACACTTGCGTGTGGCTCCAACGATGACGTGTACAGCTGCTCATAGAACCTCTCAATCTCACTCAAAATCTCAGGTGTCCCGGAAACGATGCTGCCACACTCTGTCTTCAGCTTTGACAGTTGGCTCTTTCTGGCAGACAGTTCTCTGGCAAAGACTTTGGAGCCTTGGTTCCGCTCGATCGCTTCTTCAATATGAGCTGTATTGAAGTTGCGTAAGTCCCGCCGCATGCATTTGGAGATCTGTCTGTTCAGATGCCTGTATGCTGTCAAGTCTGTTGAAGAATGTAGCTTCATCTCCCGTCTAACAGCCATGAGATTAAGAGTGTGATCGGAGAGTTTTTGTGTTCTTCTGCGGCGGGTCTTGCAGAACTTAGCTCCGACCGCATGGACAGTTTCCACGAGCTTGTCATTCATATCGTCCACTTCATTGCAGTCTTCTAGGCACTGAAAACGGTTTTGTAACTCGAGCTGAAAAGTTTCGGGACTTTGGAACAGAGCACGAGGGGGACGGAGCGTTGACTTCATTAGACGAGACCTCTCCAACTTAACGTTTAGGTTCAGTGTGCCTCTAACCATTCGGTGATCGCTACCAGTTTTCACCCTCGCGATCACGGAGACATCACTGAACAGTTGTCGTCTGGTCGTCATAATGAAGTCAATCTCATTTTTTGTCGAACCGTCGGGGCTCGACCAGGTCCACTTCCTGTGGGGCCGCTTCTGGAAGAAAGAGTTCATCATAAAGAGTCCCTCTTTCTCCATGAAGTCGGCCAGCTGCTGGCCCCTTGGGTTCCGTTGCCCTATTCCAAATTTCCCTACTTTCAGCTCACGGTTCTCTCTTGTGCCTAGTTTTGCATTGAAGTCTCCCATTAACACCGTATATTGGGTTTTGGAGGAATGCATGGCTCTAGAGATATCCTCATACATTTCCTCCACCTCCTCATCGGGGTGTGCCGAGGTTGGTGCGTAAACCTGTATGACCTTCAGCGAATACCGTTCCCAACGGATAGGTCTTAAGATGAACATGGACAAAACAAAGATCATGTTCAATGTCCATGTCACACCTATGCCGGTAGTTGTTGGGAGCACTAAGCTCAAAGTTGTTGACGAGTATGTTTACCTGGGACAAATAGTCCGACTAGGTAAGGCCAACTTCGACCGAGAGGTCAATCGACGGATTCAACTCGGCTGGGCAGCGTTCGGGAAGCTACGACACATCTTCTCGTCAGACATACCTCAAAACCTGAAAACGAAATTGTACAACCAGTGCGTGTTGCCAGTGATGACTTACGGAACTGAGACGTGGTCCTTCACTGCTGGCCGTATGAGGAAGCTCAAGGTCGCTCAGCGAGCTATGGAGAGGGCTATGCTCGGAGTTTCTCTGCGTGATAAACTTAGGAATGAGGATATCCGCAGTAGAACCAGAGTAACCGACATAGCCCAACGGATTAGTAAGCTGAAGTGGCAATGGGCCGGCCATATAGCTCGAAGAACCGACAACCGATGGGGAAGAAAGGTTCTCGAGTGGCAGCCTCGTACCGGTAGGCGAAGTGTAGGGCGTCCCCCCACGAGATGGAGTGACGACCTGGTAAGACATGCAGGAAGTCGATGGATGCAGGTGGCTCAGGACCGTGCTTTGTGGCATTGTTTGGGGGAGGCCTATGTTCAGCAGTGGACTTGTGAAGGGCTGTCATTACATGACTGTTATCGATATTTTAGTGTTAAGATGTATATATTGCAATGAAATTTCCTTCATGCTTTATCCAGGCTTAGGGCTTGCTGTGGGCATAGTCGGTCGCCATTGGTTTGGTTTAGCGCTCAATTTAGTTCGCATTCCTATAGCGAACTAGTTTGCTTATTTAGTTTAGCTTGTTAATTTTTTTTTTTAGTTTTTCAGTAGATCTAATTAAAAAAGAAGTAGATAGGTGCATTTTTGATTATTGCAAATTCTATTTAATTTTATTTAAAAAATACGAAGTGTTACAACTCAAGTTTACATTTCTATTTATGTAATATTTTATCTAAACATATATTTTTGAATTCAAAATCAAATTTCATTGTGTATCAGACATAGATATTATACGGAGCGTCATATACGATTTCGTTCGGCGCGTAGCTCGCGTGATACCGACAATACCTATCGGGTACGGACCAGGTCTCTGCCGTACATTTGCCCGGTCTGCGTACCGCTAATTTCATACTGGGTTTTGAGGTGAGTATATACGCCTCACCTCTATTTTAGCCACATAAAATATATAAAGCAGAAAGCATATAACACATAAAAATAAAATATATAAAAACAATTTGTTAGTCTTGGTTATTAGTTATTGTTTTGTGGTCATTGTCTCCTTAATAACTAACTGTTTAATATTAGAATTGAAATTAAACCAATGAAAAAAAAGTTAATTAAACAATTATTTATAATATGATATACCAACATATTTATTTATAATAACATTTGAAAATATCAGTGATGACTTATTAATCTACGGTTTACTTGATGTCGCGCTAGTTGGAACTGAGGTGAAGTTATTTACATAATGTCATTATAATTGAGAAATTGCGTTTTAAATAAAAGTTATAGGTTTCTAGCGTTTGTAAATACATAAAACAATTCCTTGGTGGTTTGTTCTATATTTATTTTTTAATTCTCAAATATTTCACCTCAATCCTATGTGGTGCCGCCCGGACTAGCATGGGCAGGAGACGATTTTATCTCCGGGGAAAGGAGAAAATGTTTATCCTCCCGCTTAGTTTTATCCACACTTCGAGCATGGGCACACCGGTGGATGTAATATCCACAGTAGATAAAATGTGAGATAGACTTAGACTTAGATAGATTTTTTGTATGAATATGAACTTAAACCCACGTTAAATGAACTAGGATAAAATTGTCCCTTTCAAATGTCAAAATAGCATATTTTTATCTTTCATTTGGCTCCATGCTACGGACGAGGGATATATGTCTACTCGTTATGTCAGACGGGGATATAATTTAAGATAATTTTATCTCTTGTCAGTGGATATAATCGGGGGATAAATTTTTGTCCCCAGCACATGCTAGCCGTGCTGGTGGCAGCAAAAGTCGTGGACGCTCTCATTGGCGAACCTTTTCGGTTGTAAGTCGAGTCCTATTGTCACTATAATGCAGGCATTCCTTGGGAGAGGCCTATGTGCAGCAGTGGACTTGTGAAGGGCTGTAATGAATGAATCAAAAGTGAACGACATTAGAATATTAAGTAATTTATTGTAATTAACAATCTCTACATAGTATAAAACAAAGTCGCTTCCCGTCTGTAGACTTAGATCTTTTAAATTAAGCAACAGATTTTAATGCAGTTTTCATCAATAGACAGAACGATTCAAGAGGAAGTTTATATGTATAATACATGCCTATAGTATATTACATAATTCTTCTGTCCTAGTGTATGTGACTGAACTCCTCTTAAACGGCTGGACCGATTTTTATAAAATTTTGTGTGTGTGTGTGTGATTAAGTTGATTAGAGAATGGTTTAGATTCACAATTCGACCTGGCGTTGTTGTTGAGATCCAGAAATCAACCGTGCGAAGACGGGACGAATCGCTAGTATTAGATATTTTTTTATACTATAATAGAGTACAATGTTGTAGCGTACAACTGGAGTATGGATTTGTGATTTAATATTTATGGTTGTCAAGGTTTCTCCACGTTCCCGTGCAGTCCGGCAGCGACCAGGTGCTGTCCGATATGAAGCGCGAGTACACGTGTGCCGACTTTGAACGGGTCGTCGACTTCCTTACACACAAGTAAGTAGCAATAAATGCTCAATTTTATAATTATTTCATGTTTACATTTATTATTTTATTACTTAATTTTTAACAGAGTTTAAAAAAAGGAGGTTCTATATTCAGCGCATATCTGTTTTTTGTATGTTCACCGATTTCTCGGCTGAAGGTGAACGATGTACTTAATTTTTTTTTTACTTATGATTGGTATGGATGGATGGTTTTATTTAAATTTGAATTTATATGTTCACCCCTAAGTCCCTAACAGTGGATAAGTTGTTACTTTGATCTCGCGATATTGTATATTCCAATTCAAAGAGTAAAAAAAAAATAACCTATAAAATATAATATTTTGTGCATATTTGAGTGGGTCCATGGATGGTTTCTCCTTACATCTACCCTCCATAATAAAAATGAAGATAATTTATTTGACAGTTTGCACCATAACAAAAAAAAACTGCAGCGGTACTCACACTAGGCGCTCAGATCTGTATCGTGGGAACGATATACACAGATTAACAAAAATAAAATTAGTATGGCATTATGGTTGTTAATATGTCTCCATATCTAAATAATACCCAAGAGAATGATATATCGATAATATATATATACGAAAAATACACACATACATATTATGAACCGTTTAGGTTCATAATATGTATGTGTACACAGGGAGAGATCCTCTCGCTACATAGGCAGAGGTCCAAGTCGAGAAATGGACTTTTATGGACTGATGAAAAATAATTATACAACCCACATAATTATACGTGGTAGAGGCATACTGCAGCTATAATATGGTTGTAGCACGAATGGGTCGGCTCGACCGGGGAAGGACCACGCTCTCACAGAATACCAGCGTAAAATATCAGCTTAACTCTGCTGTGTTTCGTATGGTGAGTGTAGAGAACCGGAGACCATTTTTACTGGAAAAGAGGCATTCCATCATAGTCCTCACGGGTGACAACGCATCTGCATTTTGATTCGCAAACGAGGATAAATGTAGATGTCTATAGGCCGCAGCAACCACTTACCATCAGGTGGACTGAGTGCTCGTTTGTTCTAACATTCCATCTTAGTCCTCACGGGTGACAACGCCTCTACATTTTGATTCTTAAGCTAGGGTAGATGTTAATGTCCAGGGGCCACAGTGTCGACTTACCATCAGTGCACTCTGTGCTCGTTTGTCAGCCTTATTCTTATAAGATTTCTTTGTTTATGCCTGTATAAATATTTGTCTCTTTCGAATGTTTCTAGAAATTGCCATGTTGTCAAAACTGTACCAGTGTTGTGTTGCCAGGGTGCCAGGTATGACGATCGCGACAGACATCATCTGCGGCTTCCCCACCGAGACGGAGAAGGACTTTGAGGACACGATGGCGCTCTGTAGGAAGTACAAGTTCCCCTCGCTTTTCATCAACCAGTTCTTCCCCAGACCTGGCACCCCCGCTGCAAAGATGACCAGGGTAAATATGAGGTCCTCCAAGCCAACTTCAGTAGCGGTGACATATTCTAAAGAAAGACAGTATTTATTTATTTAATGATTTCTTGTTTACGCGAACACTACACATTTAAATTAAACAGTTTTTACGGATGTTATCGCATATATTAACTTATTTTATATTCCCGATGTTTCGAGCACTTTACAGCAACCACGGTCACGGGGAGGTGTTCGGCGTCCCGATGTCATAGTTAACCATGGCTACCTAAAATTATTAATTTTTGGTCCGATATACGCTGTATGAACTTATAGTATCTTGAAACATTGTATTTGTATGCTTGGGTTGGGATTTAGTTTTATTAATTATATGATCCCATGCAGATGGTAGCACTAGTCATCTTCTCTATTGAAATTAGGATGTTTTTGATTCAATTGCCTCGCAAATCATCCTTGGAAGGAATCTGTGTTTTGAAAATTCTGTGTCAGAAGTCTGCCGTCTGTGAACGCGTACAGGATGCTTGGGATTCTATAGTTAATAAAATTAAATCCCAACCCAAACATACAACTGCAGGACTCCAAGATACTGTAATTTCATACTGCGTGGATCGGAACAAAAATTAGTAATTTTTAATCTGGAGGTAGCCGTGATTAACGCCGTGACTATGGTTGCTGTAAAGTGCTCGGAACGTCGGGAATATAAAATAATGTACGCGCTGTTCGGGTCGAATTTAGTAATTGATTTAAAACTAACTTCCCTGTGAGCTAGAGACTTGAAATTTTGAATGTAGCTCTGAATCGGAAGTCAAAATGTAAGAATATAAAAAAAGTGGTATATTAAAAATCCTCTGTCGCCTCTTACGACACCCGCAAGATGATGTGGGGTAGTGCATTATCTTACTTTGTTTCATCACCACTTCTGTATTCTAAAGTGATAAGATGATAATAACCCCTAGGGCTGAGGTGATCGCTACCACGCTATTACTAACTTGTTTTGTGTTGTTAATTATTCTGTAACATATTAAATAATTGTAAACTGTTCTTTTATCAAAAGTATGTCCCGCTGGGTTTCTTGCTGGTTTTTCGCAGGACAGGTATTTTCGGAATCAGTGATAAATTAACCAAAAAATGACTTTCAATAAGTATTATTTATAGTCTATATTGAATAAAAATGTTCCTGTTTCTGTTTCTATAGTCTCTCAATGTAAATAAATATCAATTACCGCATTTATGAAAGATCACTTGAGAACGATTCGACAGATTTTGATGAAATTTATTATGTGTTTAAGTGGTCCCTAGATGGTTTACATCACAATTGGTCACGGTAGGTGACGCTTGTCGAGATCCAGAAATCACCCATGCGAAGCAGGGGCGGATCGCTAGTATTGAATAAAAAAGTTTCTTTCTTCTTCAGGTACCTGGCCAAGAAGTCAAGAAACGTACAAAGATTCTCTCGGATTTTTTCCGTTCGTACGAGCCGTACGGACACAAGGTCGGCCAAATGCAAGAGGTCCTCGTGACTGACATCTCCCACGACAAGAACTATTACGTCGCCCACAACGAATTCTACGAACAGGTTCTGGTACCCAAAGAGGAGAAGTACATGGGCAAAATGCTCACAGTCAGGATAACAAGCGCGACGAAATTCTCTATGGTGGGGCAGCCCATAGACAAGCCCAAGATGGCGGGACTCACGCAACCGCTGAAGAAAGGCGAGGTGTCCGGCTTACACCAGAAGGAAGCCAAGATAATGCCCTTACCGATCTTCTGCCTATTGGTCGCTGTTGTCGTCAGATTGATATGGATATTTTTATAGCCAATGTTTTAGTTAATAAATTATTTAATAGGCAATTTTGTTTTTATTTCCTTTATGTGGTGAAGCCACGTTACATCTGTATCATGGTATACCACAAATGGGTCGGCTCGACCGGTGTAGGATCACGCTTTTACAGAATACTAGCGTAAAATAGTACGTGTGTTCTATATATCCACAGTCTCGGTTCTGTTATATATTATATTGCGCCGAGTCTGTCGTCCCAGTATGTGAACTATAGATAATAGTAACATGTTACAATAAAGCTATAGGTATATGATAAGCGAGATATGTATGAAATATAAAATTACACTGACCGGCGACAGGGGAAAATTCCAGACGTATGGAAACTACATGCGTAACAGAAATGCATAAAAGCTGTGATATTCACAATACTAAATTTTTGAACTGAATTTACTGCAAATGTAACTTACAATATAGTTAAAAGATTACAATAGAACGCTATATGAGGGCCCTGACCCACACCCTGCTTATCCGCAATATAAGAAACTGTTTCAAAGATTTGCATACATAACAGTAGGTGTGAATTTGGGCTTCTGCGTCACTTGCACTCGTTTCGCTCGAGCTACATGCCGCTGAAGGCCCCCAATTCTCTCCATTAGAGGTCTAAATTTTTAGTCTAATTCTCGATCCGCTTTTTTTATCTTTGCTCCATTTCTAATACAGTTTCATTCGGAATCTCAAATACAAATGGTTCAATAATATAACAACAAAATATGAAGGCTAATCTATTTCATCGTTAAAAATGCAAGGTGGTACAAAAAAAAAAACAGTTACTTTAAAATAAGTACTAATCGTTAACGGTGTGAAACTATTTTTTTTCTTCTCGAACACAAAGGTAGTTTAAATTAAAATATGAAATGTTTATTTACATATATTTCATTAGGAATCAAACAATCATTATGTTTTTAAAACACCATTTCTTAATACATAAAACATTTTTAACGCACATATTTTCTTATGAGTAAAACAGTTATACCGTAAAGTATCTTTACAATAAAGTTCACAAAGAGTATTTAAATTGGGAGCTCCTAAGTAACTTATATCTATGATAGTATTATTTTTATCACAAATATCTTGCACACATTTAATTTTTTCACATCCTTTTAAAAATCTTTTTATCTTTCAAATATGTTTTTATAATTCTGTGAACCTCTCTATAATCAATAAAGCCCTCACTCCATCGATACCCTCTGTGCTTTTCAATCCAGCCAATTTGTTTTTTCTCTATTAAATTTTATATGTAGGTAGTTAGTACCCCGGGGCAGCTTATAGGCTACTTTTTATCCGATTACGAACCTTAAAAAAGAATTTATTTATTTATTTAGAAAACCAACAGCTCTTATGAATATACAATGTTAATAATTTATAAATGATTATAACAGCCAATTATAGGTTTCCCTGTATAAATCTTAAATGATATCTCCTACTCTTAATACATATCAAATAAGAACAAGGTGAAACTAGTAAACTATGACTAAGAGGTATGCGCGCGCGCGCGCGCGTGTGTGGTGTGTGTGTGTGTGTGTGTGTGTGTGTGTGTGTGTGTGTGTGTGTGTGTGTGTGTGAGTGTGAGTGTGTGTGAGTGGGTGTGTGTGTGTGTGTGTGTGATAGAGAGAGTGTGTGTGTGAGTGTGTGTGTGTGTGTGTGTGTGTGTGTGTGTGAGTGACTGTGTGTGTGTGTGAGAGTGAGTGAGTGAGTGTATATTGAGCAAATCCGAGTCAAGGGTGAGTTTCTTCCATAGTTAGTATTTCGAGCGTTGGGAGCGAATAAAGGGGTGTGTCTTGTACGCTTCTTGGGTACATTTACATTTATAGCAGATAGCAAAACCGGGGAATCCAGGTAGCCATTAGCTAAAATAAGAATGTTAAGTATGTTTCTTCCTTTAGATGTTAATTTTCTATCATATCATAAATAATAGAAAATTAACATCTAAAGGAAGGATCTATTTTAGTTAATAGGCGGGATGACGGGTGTTTTTCAAAGAAATATTATATTTGTAAATTTAGTTTAAATTAGTTTTAACCATTTGTATAACAATTTGAAACTCCGCTGACGATATACGTTTTAATTATCAAAACAGCGCCATCTATCATCAAATGAAGAAACTACATTTTGCCTTTAGTAACTAATAAATTATATAAATAACTTACATTTATATGTTTAAATAATTACATTAATAAAATTATTTTAAAATCCTAAGTCTTAATTTAATCGTTATTTCATTTTAAAAGTGCAATAATTAAAATTTAAAAAATAATAGATAAAAGTGATATCTATTATCTAAAAACATCATGACATCATCTATCAAACGTAATATGAACATTTATATTATTTTGAACTAAAAAACATATAAATTTTCATACGTTTAATACTATATCTGTATGTAAACTGATTAAAACTGATCCGTCCTACAATTATTGCAAAATTCTCATGAAATCATTATTTCGTGAAATGGTGTCATTTCATGATATTTATCACTGTTTGTTGACCATGTCATAATATAGCTTAGCCAAACAAAGAATAGAGATCGTTTAACGATATCACTAACACAATATTGCTATTTCATGACAATATCTTCATATCGTCAAATTTTCAAAGTTTTTCACCGCTAGCGGCGCTGATAGCGTGTTTTTTTAACGGAAACAGATTTTTAACAGAATCAACATCACTTATTGTCTTTTTTGTATAATAAATAAATGTTCCCGGTTTTGGGGTGGCTCTTGAGCCTTCTTTCTTCTATAGCCGATATTACTAGATAGTATAGGTTTGACTTTCATAGTATTAATGTAATATAGCGCCCTCTACTTTCTCTAAATAAACTAATGATAAGTAACCGATAAAATTAAATTTTAGAATGCTACCGAATTCTTATTCGTGCAGCATCAAAAATTGTCACACTTAAAAATATCTAGACCGGTATTCATTATCGGGATTATTTATCACAATAACCACGTTTGGCAAAATGGCTAACATCACTGTTGTACACAAAACTGAGATTAGGAGAGAAGCACTTTAGTTCAATATATTGTATGTTTTTCGGCATAGGTTTCATTGTACCTACTTCATATGTTGTCACGTTATCTGATGTAAATAATTGGAAATTAAGTGCACTGTGTGATTTTATCTCTATTTGATGGAATAGTTCGTGGTATCGTTGGGTTTCTAATTACTCGGTAGATATGGTCAACAATGGTACAAAAGCTGTTTCAGTTTTTATGAATTTTATTTAAACAAATACGAGAGCCGTGTAGCTCGCCGTGAGATTTCATCACGGTAAGGGAGCAAAACGTGTACGAGTCCTTTGAGGACAAATGAATCTGTTATGGGAAATTTTACGTACTGACTTACTACATAGGTAGCCAGTGAAGTGGTGAAGAAAAACTTCGTGGGCAAACCTAAATGTCGGAGTAGTAGTTGAAGGATTGCGGCATACTCTTTTCTGCTCACAAACACTATAGTTAATGGGGAGCCGTGTGCACAGTAGTGAGACGTATGTAAGCTGCTACTTTAGTTTTTATACCTTTAATCAGACTTATAAATCAGTTTGTTGGATTTTTGAATTTTTGAGTTTTCATATTTTGTTTGTTTTGTTTTTGTTTTTTTTTTTTGATATTATAACGTTACCCCCACACTAGGATTTTCTCCTGTGTCGTGGAGGCAGTTTACAAACATAAATTGCACATGGACAAACATCCAGACCCGGAATAATTATTTGTAGGCCATACAAATACTTGTTCCGTGCGGGATTCGAACCCGCGGCCCCCAGCGCAACAACTGATTGCTAAGCCACTGCGCCACGGAGCCGTCAATATTATCAGACAAATCAAGATTTTTGTGACAGTAGTGGTTTCATAGACATTAGATATGGAAATGAACAGGCTGTTGCGAAAAACTACCTTAAATATTGAAGATTGCAGATTTTACTTAAACAAAGATATATTTTATTTTACTTGTCAAAGGCAAAGGTAAATTTCATAGTACACAAGCATTATTATATATTTTTACATATATGTTAAATGCAATTTGAAGTGTCGATTTACCACGTTCTCGGCGGTGAAAGAAAACCTGATTATCTGAGAAGTTCCCCAGCTGAGGTGATCCACCGTTGGCACTTTTTTTGGCCAAAAGCTCTGTGGCCTGTGCCCAGTAGTGACATGTATGTAGGTCGCTACATTTTTTAGTTTTAATGGGGCAATTATGCTGTTTTTATATCATTTATATTTTCGGAGATGTTACGTTTTTGTTTTCACACTACCGTAAATATTAACGGTAGCAAAGATTCGAAAGAATAGAACTCATCACCGTTATCATTACAACCTATCAAAAGTCCACTGAACTGAACATAGGTCTCCCCCATAACTTGTCAAATAGGCTGGATATTTGCCATAGTTGCCACGCTTGGCAGGCAGGTTGACATCCGCAGCATTTATTATTTTGAACTGTTGTCAGGAACATGATGTTCCCCATCTCCTGTTCGGGATTCCGAATCGGAATATCGAAACGGAATTCCGTATGTATGTGACCGGTCTAAATTAATTTACTAAGCTTAAGGTTAGATAAAACATTGTCAATAGATGACGCTAGAAGTAATATGACGTCTACAACGCTTAAGGTAAAGAAACGGTGTCAATAGGTGTCGCTAGTAGTAATATTACATCGCACTATTGTTTTGAAAAAGATAAAGTATATAATATTGTAACTCTGATGGGTAGGTTTGAGATGGTTATTCCGCTATCTAATTTTTGAATGTTCCTATATTAATATAAAGGAATATATAAATAATAAATTATAATTTTTAAAAATATTATGCTAGACTGTAGTAGGCATGGGTAATAACACTTTTACCCTATATCAAATCGTACCTATGTACTGTATATGAAAATCCGATTTTGTATCTATAAATTTGTTGATATCTTCGTTCTAAATAGAAGTAGGTACTCACATGGTGATATGCGATTATGCGATTTATGAACTAATTT